TCGGTTGGTAGACCAGTTCAATCAATAACTAGGAACTAATAGTCTTCAACCTTTATAGGATGACACTTATTCAGGGGAAAAACCTATTGTTTTCGAACGCTCAATAAATTGAGAACCATTTGACCCTTAGAATTTAAATATCATAGAATTACCATCCTAATTGAAAAGAAGACCTTTGCCGATGCTTAAAAGTAAAAAAAAATCTGGAAAAATGGTAATATCTCTAAAGCATAAAAAACAAGTCAATTACATGTAAATTACAGACTGTGTTTGATAAGGGATAATGAAAAAACAAAGAAATGCAACATTCCTCAAGCCCCTTAGCACGACTTGAGCTGTACTCACTTTCAACACTTAATGTGATGTCAATAACCCTGAAGAACAAAAACAAATAATAATAATAAGTAAGAAAAAATATATTTTTAAATAAATAAATAAATAAATAAAAAGTATATATTAAGCAAATATTAACAAATAAATAAATAAGAAAATTATAAAAAGTATATAATATATAAAAAAAAAACAACTCTGAGGTGACTTTGACTATGTAAACCTTTTCCGCTAAATAACATAATTCAAACCATAGTGTCCAGTTTTCTGGAGATAATCACCCTAAATAAAGTTACATACCCAAATTGTTTTCTTGAATCGATGCTTGACGGCCAATGTCACAATGGCTTTGAAATAAAAAAAAGTAAATAACTTACCATGCAATCAATAGCCTTCAAACTCCATAGGTTGGTCACCCTCATTAGGGAGGAGACCTCTATTGCTTTTAGTAGCCAATACGCGAAGGTAAAATAAAGTCCGGAAAGTGGGTTAACCAACGAAATTAATGCAACAACAAAATCGTTTATGGAAATTGCAGATTCGAAATTATGTCAGTCCTTGACAGATAACGTAAAAGTGCAACATTTCTCACGCCCCCCTAGCGCCGACTTAAGGATTATTCAATCTTCAAAATCAATGATGCCGAAGGACCAGAAAAAATGTAACAAAACTGAAGTGACGTACAGGGTAACTTATACAGCTGCCACGCCACACTTGACACCTGCTGTTGTGAAGTTTAAAATGTCACAGTGACATTGAATGAGAAAATCATTTCCGTTCAATAACTTGAGAACAACCCCAAGTCTTTAAACTTCAATGGATGATCACCCTCATCAAGAGTAACTCACGAACCATTTTACCCATATTGCAGCATACAAGCTTCAAGAATGACTACCCTTATTAAGGTGAAGGTCTTTTTATTTTGGGTGCCGATGCTTAAAAGTCAAGGTCACAGTGACCTCGAATGTGAAAACCATTTCCGCTAAAAATCATTTTATCATGATTAACCTTCAAATATCATAAGATGATCACCCTAACCCGAGGCGTATTTTAACTGTTACCCACAAACCCATGTGTTATTTATTTTATTACCCCGAACAAATACTATGATGATCTGAATATGTCAACTAAATTTAACTGTAACAAAAATAAACCTCTAAACTGTCCTTACCTTGCAAGTTTTAAGTGTACTGTAGAATAGATAAATACAGAATCCCTGAAGAAAGCCCAACACGGCAAAATTGAAAATGTTACTGTAGGCCTACTTGAGAAGCTGTTTTTCTTTTATTCTTTACAACTGTACAAGGACATAAAAAATAAACAGTTTCCCTGAAAAATGTGGCAATTTTAGGCCTTACTGTCATTTACCAGCTTTATAGAGACAGAATAATATTTAAAAAACAATTTTGTTATGTTTTTCTACTTTGTTCCATAGTTACCTTATTATACTGAATATTATCAATATAATCGTTTATTTTATTACAGATCTTCTTTTATATCAGTTCTCCTGCTATAAGGCAAACAAATTTAGTGTCACAAAACGAGCTTTTAGTTAAACTTTATAATATTTCTCAGATGTGTTATGTATAAATGCTTGTTAAGTATAATCTTAAAGTGACATTATCCCCATCCAAGGGTACATAGTGAGTGAACATGTGAATATATAAATAAGTTTTCATTTTGCTGATATAATAATTGACATCGCATTTATGTATCCAAATTATGCAATGTTAACTCAATTTTATCGAATTATTCTTTGTACGCATGATTGCTACCATTAGTCATGCGCATTGAATTAACCAATGAAAACTTACCATTTCATTTGACAGCGTAATGGCGTTTTTTTTTTAAAAAACAAAGTGTATTGAAATTTAGTTAAAATGCGCTTACATGTGACATTATCTATGTGACAATTGTTATAAAATAACTGGAATTCAATGTTTTAACATCTTACGAATGGCAAGCAGCTAAATGTATGTTTACTCGTGGTAATTTTGGAAATTTCCGTGGCACAAAACATGTCGACCTCGCAATTTTAAGGTATTTTTTCACGTTTGATAATTCATGATAGATGGCTCAAATATTTTTTAACGGTTACCGAAAGATATATCTATTGTGTTATGTTTCCACATTTAAGTAGGAAATATGTCTTATATTTAAAAAAATGCGAGAGGAAAATTTTGACTGTGTCGGGTAAATACCCTATGTTGAGTTACATACATTGTATATATATTATGTATAGTAAACGGGTGCTGTATAGTTATTTTGTTGTTGATGACAAGGGGTGTTTATTTCATGATAATTTGACCATAATTGACATGACACATGTGCCGTTCGCCTGTGCCTTTTTTCAATAATATTTTAAATTATTTAACTTAATGAAACAATTTTCCATGGAAAGTTGCCATTACACCCGTAACTACAGCGTATGAAATTACATAACGGCGGAATTATGTCATCCTAAGCATACCATTGTATAGCACACGATTCATCTGGCACCCCTATGCCAGATGAAATTTCCGGCAAAGGAAACACCAGCCTGATATGCAGGAAACAAACTTCTTGATTTCGTATGTTTCAATGGTAATGCCAGTCATGACGAAGAAGTGCTTTGTACAGCGACGGCCATTTATTTATAACTGAAATGAAAAAGACGCATCCGCGATGCAAACGGGAAAGGGAGTTTTTTTTTGTTCTTCCAGCACATATATGTCTGGTTAGCTCAAGGTAGAGCCTTGGACCGTAAATCGGCGGATCCCGGTTCGATTCCCGGTCGGTGTAGGTCACTTTCGTTGTGACTGATCATGAAATCAGTCATAACTCCATAAAAATCACAGGTGTCAGAATCAGCGTTTGAACACCCAACCCTATTTGCCCCTGGGCCCTTACTACAACCTTGAAAAAAATCAACTAAGGCTCACTATAAGATACCAAATACAAAACCACAGATAAAATTTAAAAAAAATCAACTATCAAAATTATAGTTATAGAAAGGTGGAAAGCCTACTATATGTTTATTTGCCAAACAATGTGGGACACGGAAAATCGTCGTTTCGGCGACTCAGGCGCATTCCGGGGCATATAGTTGTAGTAGGGGTCCAGGGGCAGATAGGGGTTGGGGTCAAAACACTGGTAACGCACCTGTAATAAAATTCCGATACAAAAAATGGGTAAAAATCAGAGAATTGTCAGGGAGGTAGAATATCATTTCAATTTTATCTAAATGAATAAAAAAAACAAAAAACAACAAGAAAAAAAAGAAAAAAAAGAAAAGAAAAACCAGCAGCTTTACATGTCACAATAGGAACAAACTGGTGCCAGTCTCAGATAGATATAGAAACCAGTTCAAATCAGATTTTAAATCGTGATGAATCGGTCAGAATGTGGACACTTTATCAGGAGTTGATCCACATCGTTTCCATAATTGTATCAAACGTGAACGAATTACGGTCGAAATGTCATTATTCTATTTATCTTAGGTCATTCAGATTTGTTAAATATTCCTCTAACATTTAGACGTCTAATAACTAAATTATGTTGCCAGATTCATGAAAATATCTAACTTGTTCTCTTTCAGTGTTTTCATAAGACTTTAAAATAAAAAAAATAAAATAAAAGAGACCCAAATTTGAGGTTTAAGGCCTCGAACAATAAAGTACATGTACTTAACCTGCAGCCGCAAATTATAGTTACGAGACACAATTAGTAGACCGTTCCTGTTTCATGATACATGTACTTAAAAAAATGTGACTAACGAAAATTTTTATCGATTATTCAATGTATGGAGGTGAAAAAAAGTGTATTTTAGTAATCTTTACTGTGTGATTCAAGCTAAGTCAAATCTTGCGACGTTAAAAGTGAAAAACACTACTCTTAAGGACACCATATTCATGGCACAAATCATCTCATTGCGTCCAAAAATTAAATGATTAAAATTGCTTTTTGCATATGATATCAAACATTATTTTTTCTGTGAAGATAGAGTGGCACGGAAAGTCGGCACGTACACATCTAAGGATGTATCCTATAATAATCTTATAATGACTGCCGGTGCTGACCGGAATACCTAGCTCGAGGATAAATGTTTACACAGCAATAAAGAAGTTCTGCCGAGTTTCCGCTAAACAGTTATTTGTGGAATCACCATTACGCACTTTTTTCTTATAGAAGCAAATGAACTTATAACTTCATTCATAACGGCGTTATAAGAATATCAGTTTTCATTATTTCTGTTCCGAAAATAATTGGCATGTTATATGCTAGAAAAAGAATCAAACAGTGGCTGTCGGTACAAAATATCTAGATCTCGGGTTACCGCCGTAAACAGTTACCCTCGACATGCTCGAGCTGGATATTCCGGTCTGTACCGGCAGCCGGTGTAGGATTCTTACAATTCTTTATTACGGAACATTACGGTTAATTTAACTTCGTTTACATATATACAATTTAAAGAACATACGCTGTACATAAAAAAGAGAAATTTAGATAGCAATATAACATTTTGTAATTGCATATAAACAAGTCGGAAAGTAACACATTTTTCTGAATCTGACAAATTATAAATTAAAGTCAATACGGGTATTGATACAAATTCAATAAATTAAGTAAAATATTTGTCATACACTGGAACCTCTGTCTCCAGAACCAAATTGTTTTGAACGGCCTTACAAACAAACGTCTGTTCGTCTGGTATTTAAGTCAGTTTATTATTTCGTTAGATTATTCGTCTCTAAAGGATACAAATCACAATGCATCTGTCTGTGGCTTTAGTGCTTCTTGTAGTTGCGGGTATGTTAACAAATTTTAAAGTGTATATAACAATATAAATGATGCATGTAGTTTACAAAATTATTGACTGCATTTTTGGAAAAGATAACCACTTAAAAGCGATATGAAAGAAATGTGTTTATATATTTTGTTTAGAACGAATGGTGCATGCACTAAATAATAGATATAATTTTTTTTAAATTATGTTAGAATTGTAATACTTTTTTCGGGAACTTTATATAATGTTTACGCATAATATGCATGTGCGTTTAATAACAGAGACACTGTTTTAATTTATTTTACAACTCTTTCAAAAATCGTCGAAAGGATTATTGGAATAACGTACTCTGAAAATTCATATTCAGATGCTTGTTCATTGGTTACTTTTTCTATGGGGTTTCATAATTGTGACAACAGGGAACGTGTTTTTATTTTTGGCTATGATACAAAAGAGAATGAACATCAAAACACTCGGCAATCTGATTTATACTAGGGGGCTACGCCCTCTCGTACAAATCAGATAGCCTCGTGTCTCTTTCTATTACTACACTTAAAAATACAGAATGTATTTCAAATACACATTTTAACTCAAACAATGATTTACAATATAAAATTGTACAATGTTGTATAAACTGCATCCAAAACAAAATAAAAAAAGCGGAAATTAGATGATAAGATGAGAAGACCGTGATAGACTTTTTAGTTGCATCGTACTTATTCGTACAACTTCGTCAAATTCCGTATGATTCTCATTCTATATACACTACAATTCTTACACTAGTCATACAACCGACAAAATTTACCATCTTTTTCGTATCGTAGAATAAGAATCATACGGGATTTGACGAAGTTGCCCGAATAAGCACGATGACTTTATACTTAATACTTATTAATGGCTATTTGTACTGAACTGGCATCATTTTGTTTGTTGTTTCACATATTTACATTTTGTATTAAATTACGTTTTTGCCAGGTACGGCCTATTCGGAATTATGTACTAGTACTGACGACTGCAGAAACCATGGCACCACACGCTGTGAACACAACACGCACGTGTTTTGTCTTACCAGTGTTAACCAGTGTGTATGTGCGACTGACTCAGTCACAAACGGTAACTCAAAACTTATTATTTAAATACATTTTGTAATAAAGGAAAAAGGTATAAAACACTAAGGGTCTCCTGAAATAATAATGACAAATCTTTAAGCTTGTTTACATTTACTGGTCAGAAGCCTTAAGCTTAGATCCATTTCAAATTTTGGGCTGACAGGGGGTTAAGGGTCATTATTATGCTAAAATGTGTATATAAATAAGTATAACGTACTATTTCTGATACTTTACCAGAACTTACTAGACATGTACTATTAATAACTAAATAATAAGATCTGTAAGGAGAAACAAGTTATGTTGCTTGAACAGCAAAAATCCCAGTGAAATGTATTATATATACAATACGCAAACAAATTCTAGTTGTTCCCCACACATTTCAAAGAAGTTAATGTATTTAAATGCTTTACATATGTTGTCATTTTATATCATGTGAAGCGTAAGGAAAGTGTAACTAGGCGCATCATTTGTACAACTTCATAATGCATCTTAGACAAATTCATCACAACTCTGAAATAACAATTCGTTCTTTATGTACATAATAACAAAGCCAAAAATAATATTTTACTGCTTGCCCAAATTAATCTTGTGTGTAATATTAGAACATATCATCACCAAAGAATTATCTTTATTAAAGGGATCATTTGAATATTTACAAATTAAATACTTGGATTATTTCAGGACAAAACCAACATAATGGGTTTGCGACAGTCCGCGCAGTCTGATCAGGATTCATGTTGTTCGCTTACCAACCCTATTACAAGTAGAGAAACGGATAGCGAACAGCATGGATCCTGATCAGACTGCGCGGATGCGCAGGCTGGTCTGGATCCATGTTGGTCGCAAACTCATTATGTTGGTTTTGTCGTAACGCGGCTCATTTGGATTATTTCAGGACAAATGTGTGGGAATACTGATGACTGCCCCAGCTGTCACCATGGTGACCGCAGACATTGTGTTGACGGCCACTGTGTTTGCTACAGATAAGTCCAACATCAGCATAGGAATCAAACAATATTCAAATACAACACGCAAAAAGTATAAATATTGAATTGGTATAAAAATAAATCTTATTAAATTGATAGTTCACACCACATGCTTGTTGTTTGTGTAGTCCATTGTCAGGGATGTTGCTGTTTTCATCCGCGCATATATATATATACAGGACTTGGGCAGTTTTTTATAATTCGGGAAGTTTTTTTACATTCAATCCTAAATAGAGGATATTCAAGTTTTTTCTATAAATACATGATTTATTTTCATCGAGTGGTACGAAAATAAATATTTCATGAGTGGCGGTAGCCACGAGTGAAATATGGTAATTTTCATGCCACAAGATGAAAATGAATAATGTATTTATAGAAAAAACTTGAATTTTCTGTTTATTATGTACATTTTTCTCTTTTTTGCGATAAAATTTGAAAAACTTTCCCTTAAATTTTGTGTACTGGTAGAATTTAAAAGAAAGTAGTCCGACAAGACACCAGTGAAAATACGGAAAATATGTTTCACTGCAGTGAAAAATAAATTTTTACATTGAAAATACGGAAAATGAAAATACGCATTTTATTTCATCAATATTTCTCAATATTTCATTTATAAGTATATAATAAACATTTTTATTCGATTACCCTTTATAATAGTCAATCTTTCAATTTGTATTGCTTATCAGCAAGACAAAAATGAGCATAACTTCACTTTAGGTACATTCTTTTCTTAAAAACAAGATATGTTTGTAAAACATGTATGCCCCCATCGGCAGCCAATTTGTCATGTGATCAGATTATTATGACTGACTCTGACCTAGTGAACAAAAAATCAATAATGGTTATCTACTGATAATGACTAGTCACTAGGAAATAGTTATTGTGACCGCAGAGGTTGTGTTCAGCAATTTGATGACAACGTTATTACAAATCTTACAAAATGATATATGCATAGATTTTGTGAATCATGTTGGCCTCATTAATGACAGCCAAGTTGTTATATTACATAAGACCTTCAAATGTGTATACGAAAAGCATTTTAGTTTAATATAAAATTATCAACCAAGGCAACTTGAGTTGTCAAGTTATTGGTCAGAAACCGTCTTTAAGTACAAGGTCAATATAACACTGACCGCCTGACCCCAAAATCAATAGGGGTCATCTCCTGGCCAAGACCAATGCACCTACAAAGTTTGAGGGCCAGCAGCTATGAGCTTGCCAAGTTATTGATCATAAAAAACCGTTTTCACCTACAAGGTTAATATGACCTTGACCTTGAACCCCTTGATCCCAAAATCAATAGGGGTCATCTAATTGTCAAGTCAAATGCACCTACGAAGTTTGAGGGCCAACAGCTCATGGGTTGTCAAGTTATTGATCGTCAACCGTTTTATCTACAAGGTCAATGTGACCTTGACCTTTGACCCCTTGATCCCAAAATCAATTAGGTTCATCTGCTGTTCATGAGCAATCATCATACCAAGTTTGAAGTTCCTAGGCCCAAGCGTTTTTTAGTTATTGATCGGAAACCGTTTTACCTACAATGTCAAGGTGACCTTGACCTTTGACCTCTTGACCCCAAAATAAAAAGGGTTCATTTGCTGGTCACGAAAAATCATCATATCAAGTTTGAAGTTCCTATGCCTAAGCGTACTTTAGTTATTGATCGGAAACCGTTCTTACCTATAAAGTCAATGTGACCTTGACCTTTGACCCTTAACCCCAAAATCAGTAGGGTCATCTACTGGTCATAACCAAGCATCATACCAAGTTTGAAGTTCCTAGGCCCGACGGACCGACGGACTGACCGACAGACAGACAAATGCAAAGCAATATACCCACTCTTCTATGAAGTGGGGTCATAATAAAACAAACATACTTTTTTAATACACATTAAAATGACTTTTAGTTTAACCAAAGAATTAAGTCGCTATAATTTATATTTCTTTAAAACACGATTATTTATATAAAGCACTTGATTTGCAGGCGTTTCTATATAAAAAATTTAACCATTACCATGATTAAATGTTAAATTCTTGACGTTAATGTTATTTGGTAGTTTCGTTTCCTCTTTTTTGGACCTTTTTTAACTTGGTGGTTCCTACTTCAATTCTGTATAATCACCCTTAGGATATTTTGTCTGCTTTTTAAATTTATATTTTGACGTCTGACTCTTTTTCTGATTTCACCATAACCGTAATTAATGTAAAATTCGGCGTAATCCGGTGCTACGGGGCATGAACGGTAACTTGCACTTACCAGTACAGTCCATGAACAGGCTAATTTTTACGTAATGTTGGATACAATTATATGAAATTTATTTACTACTTTTGTTACGATAATAATCATGACAATCTCAAAGATATCTTGTGATTTATAATTTTTATAAAATAAAATAACATTTTTTTTTAATATTCTCTTTGATAATTCTACAAGAAAAAAGTTTTCTTTCTTTTTTTTCCAAATAATATAACAATCATCACATAATATGTGTATCAAAACAAAATGAATTTTGGGTTTAATCAATTATTTTGTGAATTATAAAAAAACATTAATATATAGACTCATGTTATTATATATAAATACTTGTATGTCAATATACACGGTACGGTGGTAGACATTTACAGATGAGTGAATGTAGGAGGCAATCAAACCATATACCTCTTTTACACGTAAATATTGATATAACCACATGTTTAACTATTTTACATTTTACCGAAAGTGTATATACTGTATTATTAATTTTAAAATAAACTTTTGTTTATAGTTAAATGAATCTAAATCGAACAAAATTTGATATCATACGCTTAAGAATTTCTTTATACACTGTCAATAGCTGGAAATTTGATAACTTTACTTTATTTCATTTGTCACGGAGAGCGTTTATTCAATGTTAAAATCAATAGGTCAAAGTTGAACTTGACAAAATATTTGAATAAATGCTTTATAACTGATAAAAGGAGGGTATAAAATGGCGGAATATATGTTTACGTGTGGTGAATAGACGATCTATAACAGGTCAGTTAATTATCTTAACATTAAATTATACATATATAAATATCGTTTGAAAAACACGCAAATAACAATATAATTTTTTATGAATGCTCAGTCAAATATATATCTTATTGTATATTGTCATCTTTAAATTTCGGCTAAAGTATTTATCAGTGCTATATCGAATTCTTTTTCAACGTACTAGTTATAAACCTTATTTAAACAAACTTTATCCGTGTTCATTTTGGCTGATAAGTATGTTTAATTTCCCGGTTTATATTTGTTACTTTAATTAACAACTGATCAAATTTTAGAAAATGCACAATTTTAAACTTTAGACTATAGCTAATTAACTCAATGAAAACAGTCTGATATGATCTTATGATATATACACAGCGATTTACACAAATATTTCTATTTTTTCATTTATTATCTTCCTTTTTTACATAAAGCATGTAAAGAAATGTGTTCTATTTTATTCAATGTATGGCATGCAACTGGTTTTCTTATATATTTTAATGAAGTCTTGACTTGTATCGTATCAAAAAAGACATTATATATTTAGTGGGAACGTATATAATATACATGCATGTTTAAAAAAGGAGTCTGTATACATGTATCAGTATTGATATACAATGATATGAATTAATTTACTGAGCTGTTATTCGAACGATAGTAGCCTCAAATGTTTTCAAAGCCCCCATATCTCTTTAAAAATATCTTCACAGTTATATACCGGACTAGTTCAATATTGTTATAAACTTCATACTTAACTATATCCTGTGTGCAATACGTGTGTTTATAACCCTTACTCTCCACAGGGTATTCATGGTTTTAAGTTGCACTATATTTTTTAAGCAGTATAAATTTGGGTCATCCTACATTTTCGTTTTGTGGTAGCAATTCTATTTTGCGTTTTTTATAATTAAATTACATTAAATTTTGAAATTTCCACCTGCTCGTGTTCGCGCAGCTCGGCTTTAAATAAAAAAACACTTATAAATATTCAAATAATTTAAGAACTATGAATGAATGAATGAATGAATGAATGAATGAATGAATGAATGGAGGAAGGAAGGAAGGAAGGAAGGAAGGAAGGAAGGAAGGAAAGGAGGGACGGACGGACTGAATGACGAACAAACGAACTACTTTTAAATCTTATATTCTAACAATTATACATATTGCTCCAGATATTGACCAATATATGCTGTCAGAAAGTATATTTTATTCACATTCAAAGTATATTTTTATTTTGAACAGGACACATCTAATAGTATATAATGAGGCGCTTAAGATATTAAAATACCATTCTATTTATCTAAAATATCTGATCGAATATCTATAATTACAGATGGAATATCAAAATATATTTAAATCATGCAATGTGCATAATAGATTACCCGATTACTATTACACTACGAACGGGACCTAGTACGCATCTAGTTAAATATCATTAAGGTATCTCATCAAGTACAGTTCGTCCAACTTCGGTAATTTTCGTTACTTTCCGTGACTATTGTAATAATCACTGCTGTCGATGACTATACACTGTTTTTCGTGTTAACGAAAAGTAACGAATTTCATTCGACACTAAACGGCCAATTACCAATGATTGTAATACCTAAACTAAATAAAAATATTAAATAATTTACTTGTCCAAAGTGAGCTAAATGTTGATGGAATATACAATTAACAAAACGGAATAATAATGATGTAACTTTGTAAACATAAATTATGATAGATATAGTTTTAAAATTCAACTGGTTAAAATGGACTGGATTATTATAAATTTGGAAGTTTCAATTTAGGAGGAATAAAAAAAAACAAACAAACAAAAAACAACAAACAAACAAATAAAAAACACACGGAAATGCAGGCGGCAAGAGAATGGATAGAGGAGTAAGTGAAGTTATGTTTGCATTTTTCCCGATTATTTACTTAAAGAACAAGTCTGTAATGACACATCTGAAATAAATACATTTCATAATTAACATATACGAGGGGCATATTTTAATTGGTGGCTACGGCAGGGCGTTTTTTAATAAGTCATACCTGTGAACAATGATTAGTAGAGTCCTTCAAATTATTTACAATGGACCTCTACAAACTTTTCCAGCATTAGAATCCATTCCGGAAAAGCATTTTTTTATACTGCTCTTTGGGTATTCACTGGTAGAGAGCGCTTCCGGCGACACTACGGGTTTCGAAGCGGCGACCGTGAAGGCAAGATTTGTTGTATGGATTTAACCAAAAGTCACAAGGAGAGAGCTCAGGATGTTAAGGGAAATGTAGCAAAACCTCAATATGGTTACGGTAAAATAATCCAGTGACGCTAGCCTTCTCAGGCACTGTAACACCGCACTTTGGGGTCAAAGGCACTTTGGGGTCCGGCCCCAAAGTGCGTTACACTTCGGATCGCACTTTGGGGTCCAACGCACATACTGAGACTGACTTATTTACAATCTGCGACATTGAAATATTTGAGGTGGAGTTCAAGATGACAGTCGATTTTTTTCCCAAAGAACTATAAATATACTCTGTTGCAATGTTCTGGTGAAATATCAAGTTTCTCGATCGGATTATAGATTTTGATTTTTACAAATACATTATTAAGCTTATCAACAAAATTAAGTTTTTTTGTAAGCTTCGTAACAACCGTTCGCCAGAGGTTTTTTTAATGGGAAATCTTTCATACTTCTTTAGAAAAGGCAAACATGAATTTTATAATGTTTAAATAATGGTATCAGAGAAATGTAAGATGTTTGTTAACTGAATAAACTAGTGATTAATGTGAAATAATTTGTCATAAAAGTAGCAAAATGTAAATAATGTAGTACTGCACTTCCATATAAAATACTAATTCACTATGACTGTACTTATTGCCAAAAAGCAACAGATGAAAAAGGTTGTTCAGGTAATTGGCCAATGATAACTTTTTAGATACTATAGAAGTACACCAAAATAAACAAGAACCGGTTGAACCGGGTGATGCTCCCCGAGAAGGTTCTGGACACAGGAAAGTAAAAAAAAATGAACAAAGGGCAAAAACTCCAAAATTAGGCAAAGCCGAGTTATGTTTTTTTGCACTGCACTTCTATTCAATGAGATCTATCTATCTATAAAGTTTCCTGATGACACCAGAGTTATGTCCCGGGTAAAATTCAAAGTGTAAAAATGAACAAAGGGCAATAACTCCAAAATTAGACCAGGCTTTGTTTAGGTTCTTTAAGTATTACAGTTCTATCCAATTATATCTAGCTACCTACAAAGTTTCAAGTTGATATCTCCAATAGTTTTAAAGTTATGTCCCGGACAAAAGTCAAAAAGTAAAAATAAACAAAGGGCAATTACTTCAAAATAAGGCAAGGCAGAGTAATGATTTTTAAGCATTGCACTTCTACCCAATGAGACCTATCTATCTACAAAGTTTCATGTTGATATCTCTTATAATTTTAGAGTAATGTCCCGGACAAAGTTCAAAGTGTCAAAATGAACAAAGGGCAATAACTCCAAAAGTAGGCAAGGCAGTGTTACAGTTCTTGTGCACTGCAAACTGACTCAATGAGATCTATCTACCTACAAAGTTTCAGGTTGATACCTTTTATAGTTTTAGAGTTATGTCCCGGACAAAGTTCAAAGTGTAAAATTAACAAAGGGGGATAATAAAAAAAATAGGCAAGGCAGAGTTACGGTTCTTGTGCACTGCACACCTACTCAATGAGATCTATCTGCCTACAAAGTTTCATGTTGATACCTCTTATACTTTTAGAGTTATGTCCCGGACAATTTTCAAAGTGTAAAAAAAACAAAGGAGGATAATTCAAAAATTAGGCAAGGCAGAGTTAGGGTTCTTGTTCACTGCATACCTACTCAATGAGATCTATCTACCTACAAAGTTTCATGTTGATACCTCTTATACTTTAAGAGTTATGTCCTGGACAAAGTTCAAAGTGTAAAATAAACAAAGGGGGATAATTCAAAAATTAGGCAAGGCAGAGTTACGGTTCTTGTACACTGCACACCTACTCAATGAGATCTATCTACCTACAAAGTTTCATGTTGATACCTCTTATACTTTAAGAGTTATGTCCCGGACAAAGTTCAAAGTGTAAAATAAACAAAGGGGGATTATTCAAAAATTAGGCAAGGCAGAGTTACGGTTCTTGTGCACTGCACATCTACTCAATGAGATCTATCTACCTACAAAGTTTCATGTTGATACCTCTTATACTTTAAGAGTTATGTCCCGGACAAAGTTCAAAGTGTAAAATAAACAAAGGGGGATAATTCAAAAATTAGGCAAGGCAGAGTTACGGTTCTTGTGCACTGCACACCTACTCAATGAGATCTATCTACCTACAAAGTTTCATGTTGATATCTCTTATACATTTAGAGTTATGTCCCGGACAAAGTTCAAAGTATAAAAATAAACAAAGGGGAATAATTCAAAAATTAGGCAAGGCAGAGTTACGGTTCTTGTGCACTGCACACCTACTCAATGAGATCTATCTACCTACAAAGTTTCATGTTGATACCTCTTGTTGTTTCAAAGTTATGTCCCGGACAAGAAAAGGGGACGGACGGACGGACGGACGACGGACGGACGGACGGACGGACAAGGCGGCGACTATATGCTCCCCCGAAAATTTTCGGGGAGCATAAAAAGCTTTTAAGAAATACAAATTAAAGCATAATGGGCCTTTAAAACCTTAATTTTTAATCATTTGTTTAAGTTCCGCTCTTTATGTGTGACTACTAAAATAGTTTAACTGCCTTTACTTAAGGCTGCATCTACACCTAGTCAAGTTTCTTAAATGTCACACTTAGATAAGCTAAATAAATGACCCTTCAACATTTTATCTGGCACAATTTTTTTACTGAAAAGTGTTATTTAGATTTCCCAGGATTTATATCTTTGTCTTTGCTAAGAATATAATATTTCTGTAAATATGTAAATAAGAAAATCGGGGAAATGATGCAATTATATAAAAGAAATGAGGCTAATGAAAGGTGTACATTCATTTAAAATAAATGGAAAATGTGAGAAAAACTATTTTGAGCTTATTAATTGATACAAATTCTTTACTTGATGAAAGTTCTTCACTTACTGATCAAGATCATCTAAATTCCATATTGATTCTACTATAATTCAGGGCACATGTTTTGCGTATATTTAATATTATGTTTTATTGTTGTGCTTCCGATCCTTCAAGATCGTTCAGCACGACATTATTGTTGTGCTTGTGGTAATTTAATTCTTTCTATTCGGCTATTCTATTTTCTTGCTGGGTGGTTCCAGAATTCCTCACTTGAATACTGTTGAATCACCCTTAGGATAGTGGCCTGCATTTTTTATTTGTCTTTTGACGTCTTATCTGTTATATGCAGGATTTATAACTTCTGATTCACTTTCAAAATTCCATTTTATTTAGTTCCGCCATTTGTTTTCTCGTTTAGGGCACACGCATGTTTTTACTTGGGGACCATATGCCGCTTTTCATGGAATGGCACTTACGTTTCACATTGAAGGTTTCATGATTACCGCCATATGAACACATCTGTGGATGTTTATAAATTCAAAATTGTACCAGTTCATGTTAAATGTTGAATTCTGCTTAAGCCGGTGCTAGGGGGCTTGGACGGTAACTTGAATTTTTCCCTACCGTCCATGAACAGGCTCAATCAAACCGAGCCTGCAACATTTTCAATTGTACCGTGTTGGACTTTCTTAAGGGATTCTTATTTTCTCTTTGTTAACACCTTGACTTTTGTTTACCATTGGCTTTGACTCAAAACATAATGAAAATTCATTTTTATTGATTGACTTTTTATGACCCCAAAGTGCGGTCGTTTGTCTAAAGTTAAAAATGCATATGTACCTGTTTAACGCACTTTGGGGGGTCAAAATTGGACCCCAAAGTGCGTAACGCACTCTGGGGTCGGACCCCAAAGTGCGTTTGACCCCAAAGTGCGGTGTTACAAGGCACAACGACACGGGCCACTATTCCATCACTGTAAAAAGATAGAGCGTACATAGCTCTTATAACGCTTCTGCTACGTCGATCTTTGAACCTAGTCAATATGGCCGAGACTTTTTCAACCCGCTTCCCTTTCTGTTCAAAAGTTAGCAAATGCGGGGTCCAACGGGCACACACTTTCCATAACTTAAACTTTTCTTTCAAGATGGAAAACACATATGGCACACTAAGGCTCGATGTGCCACTTATTTCATCCATGGTATATCTTGCTATGGCTTTGACAGTGCTGATGTCTTTTTCAGAGGTAGTGGAAATCGGCCTCTTAGGGCGGGGATCATACTTAACATTAGTTTAAACTTCCCTAAACATTGACACCCACCTGACAAGTGTACGATATGTAAGGGCATTTTCTCCATAAACTAAATCTAGATTAGTTTTTTTATTTTATTTCTGACTCGCATTTACCCAATAATTCATGAATTTAGCATTAATCTCTTTGCTCCTCTCCCAAATCTCTATGTAACACAGCCATGTTTACAACCAGTTTACAAAACCACATGTATTTAAATGATCTGCTAAAATGTTATTGCACGTGCAAATCGTGCAAAAATAGACTGTTGGCAAGAAAAAAAATCTTTCCTACTATTTATTATAGAAGTACTTTCACGTGCAAATCATGGTTAAATTGAGTTGTTGCCATTTATTAGAATATGCTCATTGTACAAATATGTATATTCCACAGCAAAAAGTTAACATATTAATAATACATGTCCACCTCACACTGTCCTGTGTCTTTCAATTGTTTTTGCAGCGATAATAAACAAGACAGATATAGTTTTTGAACAAGAAAAAAAAACAGAAAGAAAAAAAGAAAGAAAGAAAAAGAAAAACATATCAATGCCAGTTGTTAAATTATTCTCATTTAAAACAATGCTCAAACTGAAAATAAGCTTGAAAGGGAGCGATATGTTTAAAATTTGATTTGACCAATTTAAAAGAAAACCACCGAAACTGTGTACTATTTCCTTTACCCGCCGTTCACACATAGACGCCTCTTCTACTACCCGAAAACGTAGCCGATCGTGCCAAGTCGCAGGAGAAACGTACTTGAGTCTACATAAGCGCAGTATGATCGCAGTAGCGTATTCATCATCGGAAAGCTCTACGCTCTCGCCAACGTGCTCAAAACAAACGTAGCGAGATCGTGGCCAACAAGAATCGGGGTAAAGTCGTAAAAAGAGCGTGGTAGAAGCGCAGTAATCGTACAAGCAGCGCGGAAGCATCGTGGATAGTTCTTCATGATCGTAGTAAAAGCGCAGTAAAAGCGTCGTACAGTCGGGAACATACCCAGTACGCTTCTACAACGTTCCCACTATGTTCTGACTACGTTCCCACTACGATCTCTCTACGTTCATGACGATCAAACGAAGACCTACCATGACCTTACGACGATCACACCACGACCTGTCAGGTAGCAGTTTGTTTCTATAGCGCTGCTATTTGACCAATCATAATCTTCCAACTACATTGATAGGGCGGCACTTTACTTGACGATCATTTGCAGCTTCGCCTGTTAACAATCTGTGCAATTTCAATTTCAACCAATATTTGTTCTTGCTGAAGTACAGCCAGATGAATCAGATCAGCATTAATAAATCCACACAGTGCTGCGACTTTAAAACGATCATGCCGATCAAGCCACGATCTGAAAATGTATTGGATCGGAGCCGATCGTCGTCGAAATCGAGCAATTTGGCAAATTTTGGTCTCCATTACGACTGTACTACGATGTTCCCACGTCCAACGCGCTGCTGACACGCTTCTACTACGATGTTATGCTGACCGATGCCGACCAGCGGCCGCGTTTACTGCGTTTATACTACGCTGCCGCTACGACATTCAAGCTCGCACTACGACGCTACGCAGACCTAGAAGACTGTACGACGATATCGCTACGACGGTGCCGATCATATTACGCTTTTAGTACGCTTCTAGTACGATTTAGGCGATGATATATTTACCTTGGGTTCAAAAATTATTTTTCATTTAAAATATATTCATACTGAAATTCCATCTTAGATAGACCTGAAATGAAACAGGAGAAGAGAAAGTACTACAAAAGCAAAAGAAACTATCCTCATAGGGACTTCTCGGGATTTAAGCTATGGTGTAAATATACTATGACAGACACTTGACTTGTAAAGGGACAAAACTAGGACAACTTTAAACACTATAATATGACATGATTATCTCCCTTGTAATAAAAAAGCATTAAATTAGATTCAAAGTCAATTCATACATATATCTTTCCTGTTCATTATTCAGTTCGAGTAATGTTGTGTGTTGTATCAGACCCAAAACGGGATGGTTTAAAATGACTTTTTGATTGGCCACTACAGTTCGGTTTAAGCCTTCCCATCAGTTTCAAATCGGAGGTTTATTTTTGAGTCACGTTTGAGCTCAACGAAGATCAAGTGTTGTTAGAATAAAAATCACCATATTTTAAACGGATTTAGTAAACTATTTATATGTAATTTAAACCTTCAATTTTAAGAAATTAATTAAAATATACCGTTTCTGTACAATTGCAGGCGTTTAGGGATCATCACTCTTCAAGTACCTTGCAAGATGTGTTCTTGTCAGCACAAAATCCACTGGAGCGTGGTCGCCATCATCGTGAATGTTATTTGTCTAGTTATGTCGACCACTGGTATAGCTACCGATAACTGGGCAGTCAAGACAGAACATGGTTACACGATTCACTCGGGGTTGTTCCAAGCGTGTACCAAACTGAATGACACATGCTACGATACACATACTTACTTTGATGCGCATAAATACGGTATGGTGATGTCTTTAAACCTAATAGTTAAAGTTATATAGATGTAGTTTTATAATACTGCACCTTTGTAACGCCGTTTTTCATTGGATAACCGTGACATTTGTATAATCTATATAAACGGCTGTAGATGATTAATGAAGTGATTTCATTTTTACTCTAATAAAAGAAGTTTGCAGTATCATAAATTCGTTATGAAGTATTTTGATAGGTTATTTGGCCGTATATTACAGTTTATTTATAATATAACTCTTGCCCGACACACTGGGTTATATATGCAAAAAACGTTTTGATTAGGCCATATAACCTAATCATGAAAATCTTTATGACTGAGAATATAAAAATAATTATCAGTTTGCTGTAATTGCCTGTTTGTTGCTACAACTACTGGAGGGCTTCCTTTTAAATAAAATTTCGAATACATGTACTTACTAAGTAAGTGTTTATTAAGTCAGTATTTATTCCATTAAATCTCTGCACCGGGCCAGACAGTTTTAATTGCATCAAGGCTGACTAGCAAACGCTAACCTATACTAGATATTTGACTATTTTATTATTGAATGATATTCTATCCTTATTTTCTTACAGAAAAGGGACTGATTACAGCCAGTGCTATACTAAATGTATTTTCGTTGATCGGTTTCTATTTGTTCTTCGCTCTATCTGTGTTCTTCCTATGTGGCTTGTACGAGGAGAAGAAACTGGCAGCCGGAGCTGTGATTACATCATACGTTTCTGGTAACTATTTTTAACTTTTTTTATAGACATTCAACTTTTAGTGTGTTTGTTTAAATAACGTTTATGTGCCCGAAAATGTCTTAACTATTATAGCAGGGCACTTCTTGTCATGGTAATGAAAGACGTCCGTTTTTTTTTTTTTTTTTTTTTTTTTTTTTTCGTTTTTTTTTTTGTTGCTGTTGTTTCTTTTAGACCTCAAAAGGTAGTTTCTAATTTACATTTGAGTGTAAAACGTCTGGAAAATTCAAATTTGAAAGCGACTATTCCTTATTTAATACTTTTTACACTCAAATGTACATTTGATTTTATGAATACAATTATACGTTGTTTATGTAGTAGAGAATTAAATTGTGTTTGAAGTCCATATCCGAAGATTGACGGAAAGAGCCGAAAGATTGCAATTACCGTAATGAATAAAGTTATAAATTCATACGTTTCTGTAAGAAAAATGCAATTTATTTTTTTTTTTTCATTATTCTTTCAATATGAAAATATCTGTATTCGTTATTTTCTTTCAAACTACGGCTGTCCGGTAACAGTCTTGCATATGATACTAGCACTGTTTGAATGCAGCTTTTGTCTTATATAACATGTATGTTATCCCTGGGATTTGTTTATTTCAGGACTGTTTGCAATTATCGGAATAGTGCTGTTTGCTGTTAGTATCAAAAGATTATCATTCTCTTTGAGTTGGTCGTTTATTCTCGCCGTCATGGGCTTTGTCATCAACATTGCTGCAGGTGTCCTTATGTGTGTCGGCAGAAATATCAGCACGTTGAAACGTATAAAAAAGAAAAAGACTCCGGCAAACGAACATCCTGTCGAAGAAATGCAAATGGAAGAAACTGACACTGACCGGAAGAAGATTTGGTCGTCACGTGAGGAGCCGGAAGTCAGTGCAAACGAACCTAGTACGACTAGAAAAATGAAACTATCGCCTAGTGCAAGTAGTTTTGGATGATATATGATTTGAAAATCAAACAAAACTTTTTAATTAGTGCAAAGTGACCGTTTATTTATTTTATAGAACAAAATGTTTTCAGTTTTAATTTACCGTTTGTGGATGTTTCAATTCTTTTTGTGATAATTGCTGCGCGTAGAGATCTACGATATGTTATTGAAATATGGTATAGACAGTTTCATGACGTGGGGCAACTTGAAAAGTACCCGAAATTTATAGCAATAGTTAGATCCGTGTGTGTTACTTATTCTAACTTGAATATTAAAGATAATGTTATCACAATTAATATAATTATGCTTGATAAAGAATGTCAAGAATGAATAAGACTCACTAAAGATAATTCTCATCCATATAATGGTTTTTGATTGACAATGATGTAAATGACCTAGTATTATTAACATATATAATGATACGATAGGATACCGACTTGACATACACGAGAACAATGTTTCTACACGTTAAACGTAATATGCCGTCCAAACGTTATTACAAATTATCTTTTAATTTCTATTTATAGTTACAACTTGTTGTTGTTGTTGTTTTTCTTATCTATATTTATCTATTTTACAGATAAATTTTATTTATTGCTGTACTGTTCCGTATTTGTCGTCACACATTTGTTTTTGTTGTTCTGATAAAATGTTAAATGATTGTATATCGATTGTTTGTTATAACTATGACATATCGCTTCTTGTTACTATCAATATGTCGATCATTATTTACACAATTTATACATCAAAGTAAAATATGTTTTGACGATAAACATTGTGGGTGTATCGCATGAAAATATCTTGTTCCACTGCATTTTGGTTGCAAGCAAGTTTGATTGCAAATTTATTCCTATTATTTTTAATCATGTGGTCGAGTCATATCATGTTTTCACATCTGCAATAATCATTTTCAAGCAAAGTAAAAAGAAAGGGAAAAAATCAAGATCCTGTTTAATTAGTATTACATTAAATCAGATGTAAAATCTTACAATGTAAATATATGACGTATATGTGCCATGCGCACATTGAATTGTGAAGAACATCTTCCAAACATGCTCGCAGTATGTGGCTGCCTTACCATGCCGTACTTGCTTTATTTATTACTTAATTTATATTAAAACATAAATTCAGGCCTAAGTTGTGCGTATACGGCCCATCCCACAACCCGCCATTTTACAAATCAAAACACATTGTCTTCAAAACAGACATCGTCGGTTACTCACGGTATATTCCGTATATACTACATTATCTAGAGTGGGTAACCGACGATGCAAAACAGAGTAAGCCAGTTTCTTAAAGTCCATTGGGCTGTTTAAGTCTATAAAGCATTTCTACTAAATGTTCGTGACGTCTTACGGTACAAGTGTTTTTACACTTATGGCTGAGTGGTTGCCTTGATACAGAAAGAACAAATCGCCAGTCGAAACAAAAACATGATCATGCCATGCGGAAATCTAACGGACATATTTCTTGGGTTAGGGCCTTGAGCCTTATATTGTGCAAAGAAGACCCTCTAAACTTGTACAAAATCGAACCCGCATTGAATCAGAGAAATGGTATTGAAACGGTTGGCTCTGGAAAATGGTTTATTTTCCGAAATACTATACAATTTATATCCAGATAGAACAAATCCTGGTCCAAAACAACGGCCATGTCATGCGGAAATCTCCCGGACATATTTCTTTGGTTAGGGCTTTGGCATTTATATTTATATTTTGACGATAATTTATGCAATTTATATACAAAATGGTTTTTTTTATACACTTTATATGCAGAAATAACAAACCGTCCTTCCAAAAAGCAACAATTTTACTGGGACTTCTTGCTGATACCTTTCTTGCGGTACAGCTTTGAGCCTTATATTGCTGTGGAGAAGATTATCTAAACTTATATAATCAAGGATTCAGGCACCAGAATTACAGCCACCGTTTATCCAATTGTAATTGTAAGAGGCGATCAAATGGCTTCGAATTACAGGAGAGTATGCATATCTTGGCTCTAGCAGGTGAGGCGGTTTTAACCCATGGTGTTGCAAATGGACCGTCTTGCAAATGCGTATGCACGGTTATAATCTTAAGTGTCCAGCAGGTTGTCCATGAAACAACAGAGTATTCTACATGCCAGTATAATTAATTCGATGATCAGCCAAATAAAAATAGAAGCATGTTTTACGATCATAAGCCTACCGTCGCCGGCAGGACACTAATTAGTCGCCTGTATCAATTTCTCAAAAAACGAAAGCATTTCATATAATGGTCAAGTCAAAAAAAAAACTAAGGTGTAAAATGAAATTTGCAGTCAATAAAATACATAAACAATAAGGAAACCCCTCGATACCTCTAATCTACCGATCTCTATATTTAAATTCCTAATTTTCTTTTTGTCGCCTTACAAATAGCTCTCGGGCGCTGTTTTGAAAGATATGATTCACTCTTCCAAGAAAAAATCCCTGAAATACTAAGATCAAAACAACACAGAATTGTTTTTCCCAACAAACATAGGGCGCTTTATTGTAACAGTAACCATTTAAAATTATGAAACGATGATATTTAAATTACCTCACCACTCATTGACGATAGTATTGCCAGTGATGTAATACTTCTATTTGCAGCTCAGATTACATTCTAGATATGTAAAGGTAATTTTTTTTCATAAATCGAAATGGAGAACGATTTTTTTTTCGTTCTGGATGCATGTTAGCAAGTAAAATCTAAATGTGCAAAATAAGTGTGAAATTGCCGTCGTGTGAATTATCGTTTTCGGATATATTTCTGATCTTAACCACTTTGACATGAGATGTTGCTAACTAAAAAAGTGTTGAAAATACATAAAACGGTGAACCCGGGTACTACCTCTTATATGAAATCGTCGCACTGGGTATAACTTGAAAGTATTGTAGAGATATATCAAAAATATACAATAGTAGTGCGTTTTATTTTTCTCTATTGCATAGTGTTACAAATTTTGAAATAATGAAAGTTTGTAACGTCATTTTTCATTGGACAATCGTAACGAACACATATACTGCAAATATTTGTTAATTCATTACGCAACATTAAAGCTGGATTCTTTATGAAGAATTTTGAAGTTTATATAACCATGTATGAATAATTAAACCTCGCCTAGGGACTCGGGTCATATATGATTACCACCATATACATGTAAACTGTATGTAATAAAGTCTTGTAACAGGTTATATTATTGACAGGTTATATGGCCCTATATAAACAGTTGTTTGTATAAATTGAATAACCCGAGCAGCTAGATTTGACAATGTGTGTTTAACATACAGTCTGCTTTTGATAGCATGTTTGTTAGATTTTAAAGATATGCTTCCAATTACAAGCACCCCTATAATCAATCAGATTACCGGGTGTTTTGATGTTCTTTCCCCTTTGTATCATTGGCAAAAATATAAACACGTTCACTCTTGTCACAATATGAAGAAACCCCAGTAAAAATTAAAAATGTTGAATATGATTTTTTTCCATCGTTATCCCTTTCTCTGTCGTCACAATAAGTAAACCCATGAAAACATGAGCCAATCAATGGGTATGCTCTGGAGTGCGGGTAACGAATACCTGCACTCCAGTTAATGCACTGTGTCGTTTTGTCATCTCAAATCTATTCTACGCCCCCTTGTACAAATCAGATAGCCTCGTGTTTTGATGCTTTTTTTGTTAATTGCTTTGCAAGGCTCTACGCATTTATGCGTAAAACATAGACGAACTGTTGGTATAATATGACGTAAAGTACAGGTTATATATAAGTACGGCATCAGTGGGTATCCCTGATATATCGTGCAGACGACAGAAGCTGATCTATAGCGCTGGTATGTTACTATTTTATACACTTCGATTTTATTTATTTTATTTAAATTATTTATTTTCTGTCATTGCTTTTAAAATCTCATTATTGAGTTATAAATTTTGTCTGAAATAACGAGATCACTTAAAATTGTAAATAAAAATTAAAATGATAAGAATGGATTTAATAGTGAAATTGTATAGGATTATGGGTAAATCTTTTTTGGATATGTCAATACTGGTTAAGAGATAAATAGATGTTTTCATTTATATATTTCCAGGAGATTTATATTTTTCTCCTAAACATATTCCAATATCAACTGTTGGTCAAACACCATTTTAAGAGTCAATAAGTTAATTTAGCTGAACTAGACAATGAAAAAAATGAGCATAATGTCAATTAAAAGTTGTTGATCCATCGTTATACTTTGACGGGTAAAATAATCAAGCGTTTTTAAACGAAACAAATGTAAATAGGAACGTGTGTATTTAAGCCTCAAGCGTTGTAACAGAACAAAGGTAAAGACGCTTGTAAATTTAAGATTCAAGCGTTGTAACGAAACAAAGGTAGAAAGACGTTTGTGAATGTAAGCCTCAAGCGTTGTAACGGAACAAAGGTACAATGACGCTTGTAAATTTAAGATTCAAGCATTGTTACGGAACAAAGGTAGAAAGACGTTTGTGAATGTAAGCCTAAAAAGTTAAAAGGGAAAGAATGTAAATACGCATATATATATTTAAGCCTCAAGCGTTATAAAAGAACTAATTTTGGAAGTTACTTGTTTTTTTATCCTCAAGCGTTGTAGGAGAAAAGGGACTGGAACATATGCTAGCCCCAAGATTTATAACTGAGAAAATGTAGAAAAAAGCTTGTTTAGAAACAAAGGTACAAATGTAAATTTAAATACATTGTATTATCTTGCATATGTTAGCCTTAAGCGTTATGTGAATATAAAAAATGTCTTGTTTTATTTGACATTTTTTGAAGAAAAAAAACTATTTTTTAATACATGACAAGCTTAGATTAAATCAAGGCTTGTGATATAGATGTACTTTAAACCTTTGGCAGTTTTTTGCTGCAAGTTTAATCTTGGTGTCTATCAAAAATTTAAAAATAAAAGTTTTGACACTTGGGTTTTTTTAACTATTTAAAGTA